TTACATAACTTTGAGAAGATAATTCGCTTCTAACTCTTTTACTCGAAACAACAAACTATACGTCACAGCCAAAGCACTGGTGAAGACGCCAAATTGTCTTGCGTCGAAAGCGAATTAAACCTCATAGAAACATCCCACGACGGCGTCATTCGAGAACTTCTGACGGACTGACGACAGTGACGATGCGTGTCACGGGGGAAGGGTGCGGTGAAAAGCGAGTACAAGTGGCTGAGAGATAGAATCGGTGCCTAATCCTAGTTAATCGATTTAGAGCGATTTTTAAATTTTTTTTTTTTTTTTAATAAAATAAATAATATTTGCGTATGGAACTAAAGAGCCGCATGTGGCTCGCGAGCCGCAGGTTGCCGACCCCTGATATATTCTAATAATATTTTATAATATATTATAAAAATAGCAGATTGTCATTGGCAATGGCAAAAGAGTGGAAATATCATTCGCACTTGTTCGCCTCACATAACTGCCGAATGGAAAGTCCGTTGTTTGCAGCCAGTCTGTTGCTCGAGTCACATAACGGCCAAACAGAAAGTCCATCGTTTGCAGCGTCATTATTTGAGGCTTACTGTACTTACAAGTTTAAGTATCTTGATAGTGAATACAAATTATAGAAAAAGTAGTAGAGAGCTGCAGGTTTTCATGCCTGTAGTGTAGTGTAGCCACATTGTGACATGCTTTTCCAAATGTTCAATCTATTTTTATATTCTGTGCACAAAAGTTTTTTAATTTTCCTTGAACCATTCTTATTCAGAAACTTGAACTTCAGCATCCAATGAAAAGCATTGATCTTTCAATACTACCTTTATTTTAGAAACAACCATAAGTCTGATGGTGCCAGATCTGGAGTGGAAGATGGATATGGAATAACCCAATTGTTGGTCTTATGTATCTTCACTGTTTCCTTACTGCAGTATATTCTTGTATAATCATGGTGCAAGAACAAGATTGTTCTTTTGGCCTTACTTTGCAAATATGTCTCATGAATGCTGAGATCTCACAATATGTCACCAAATTGATTTTTGCCTTTGCCAGATATTCCATGTAAACAACTCGTGTACAATCCCAAAAATTCATTCCTCTGCTCAAAATGTCATGCTGAACAGTTTTGAACTTTCTAATGAGTGCAGAATAAGAGTAACAATACCACATGGTTACATATAAAATAATGTGATATAAAATATATAACCAAGTGATCAAATAATTATTGTGAATTTTAACTGCACAATTGTCATTTTTTCACAGGAGTATTATTTAGGAATTATTGCTGGACAGTATTAATTAACTACAATCTCAGTTTTATTAATTATTAGTTAAAATAAATTATAATATGCTTGCAGTAGTCTAACATTTATAAAATAAAAACTTAGAGTATTTATCATACCATTTTAAAATTTACAATTGACTTGTTCATAAGTAAATTTTGAAATGTATGTTAATATTTTCAGAAAATTTTATAATATAAAAATTTTTTACTTTTGTATTATTATTTTGTCTTTACTCATCTGTGTTTTACAATAGGAAAAAGATAGTACTAGTAAAAAAAAAATGTCATTTAATTTTATTCTTTTCTTATTCCTTATAATACTCAAATAGAAATTTAAACAGCTGTTGGAATTGCAAAATATGTATTAATAAAATTTTCATTTGTAATATTTTTTCCTGTAATCTTTAAATATTTTAAAAGTAATATGCTTTTAAAGATGTAATAAATATAAGATTTTTTTCTATAACTTGTATACTATCAAGATTCTTGAACTTATATCATAAGTAATTTACAATAAGTTTGTGTGTCCAATGAACAAAAATCTTAAATTATAAAATTGATTATTCATCCTGATAGTTGATAAAAGAACTGTGGGAATTTGGGTTTATGGTTGTATCATCATTAGATAAACACAGTTACAGAACAGAATGACTTAACAATTGAAAAAGAAATTGGTAAATGTTTTTTGAAATATTAAAACGTAATACAAAAATCATGAAAATTTATTTAATTATTTAATATTAAATCCAAATTATTAGACTGACTTAATTATCATTGTAAATCTGTCCCTTGTTTAGAATTTATTTAGAATTATTTTATCTAATAAATTTTAACATTAAAAATTTCATTTAATAAATTAAATGAATATATTGTGTCTACTTACTTAATATCAAAAATACCTTGAGGAAAATTTTATTTTGATTATTTAGAAATAATTGAAAACAACTATTTATTTAATAACTTTGATATATTACTGTATGTTTTAATAATAGTAAGAACTATTTTGTTTATTTTTTTATGAATAAGTTATGTAACTATTAAATAAATAAGATTTATTTATATATTAAACATAATTTTTATTTTAGGTATTGTGACTCATGTAATTCAAAGAAAAAATAGAAATTTAGCAAGGGAAAGAATGAGGAAAGTTATTGGTCATGCTCCCAGAATTTGTATTGATTTGAGTTTTGGTTCTATGATGTCTGAAAAAGTAAGTAATTTTTATGTGTGTAAATAAATTTAAAAATACAGTAGAGCGTCAATTATTCGAAAGAATTCCAGTCGGCAAATTTAAATTTTTGTCAGTGCTGAGGCGCTGCATCTTTGGCTATGTCTTGGGCTACTCAAATATTTTACATTTTTGATACTAAATTAATTTCTGAAGTATAATTTTTTATTGTTTTTATATTTTTCAATATATTTATTTTGTTTGTACAAAATAAAAAAATAATTTTTAACAATACAATAGTCTTCATTAGCCTTAACATCGACGAAAATTCAACGCGAAATGACACGCAATGGAGAAAAATTTCAACATGGGATAAGTTAATATATTTTTTCATACATAATTGGTTATCCGAAATATCGATTTTCCGAACAACCCGTCCTCAATTGATTTGGATAATCGACGCTCTACTGTACATATATTTATTCAGTTTATAAAATTAAAAATGTCTACTGGAAATTTTATTTATATAGGAACTTCATAGATTATCTTCTCAACTTCGACGTTTATATGGTTCAAATCAAAATAGCATTAAACCAGTGCATCTTTATTTTACAAGTTTTGGAGAAGAAAATCCTTTATATAAAGTATGCTGTGATAAAAATGATGGCTTTCTTAATTATGTTGTAAGTATGATAATTTATTCAAAAGAGCTAATTAATTTTAAATATATTGATAAGGTATTCAAAAATGCTGATTTGGTTTCATTAGTTATAGTTTTTGTTATTTATATATCAAAAAATACAATAAAATTATTTAAGTATATAAAAAGTTTTTTTAGTACCCTTAAAAAATTATTCTATACATCTGATGGTCAAATTATTGCCAAAAATATTACTTACAATTAAATATTTTAGTCAGTTTCAAATGAATTGAATTTTTCCATTAAATTGCAGTAATTTTTATTCTCTTAAATATTGAAAGTACTCCAATATTTATTTTAATGTTGCTTTGATATGTTTTATATAGCTTAAGTTTCTCTTGTAACCTGATAAAAGATCACATCCTGTTTGATTCTTTATCAGTCAGCAGATTCTTTTCATTCTGTTGACTTTTGGATTATATCTGTGAATATAAGTCAACTGAATATTCTTATGTTTATTCTCTCATTTAAATGTAAATATAATATTTATTAAATTATATTATAAAATAATTATTAATTTATTGATATAAATAATGTTTTACTCATCTTTTTATGAAAATTCTTAAATTAATAAATGAGTGGAAGTGGCTATACTTTTAATATTGAAAAACCATTACAGATGTAGTTCTTCGTGCCATTATGATAATTTTAATTAATTTCTAGAAATTAGAAAATGTTTGTTTTGGCATAAAGTAATTTTCCATTAATCAATTTGATTTGGAAATTTAGATTCAGAGTTTATACATAATATATTACATTCTGTATTGTTTTTACAGAACATTTAAAAACAAATAGAATCTAATAAAGTGTAGTAGAATTGAATAAATGATTGACTGTAAAATAGATTGAAAAAATATTTCATTAAATGAATTTTGAAGTTTATTAATTAATTAATATTTGATTATCATTATTATTGTATTGTTTATTTTTATACAATTTATTTTTATGTTTTATATTAATGAAATCTAAACTTATAATAATTTTGTTTAGATGCTAATTATTTTTATAAAAATAGAATAATGAGACCTTTGAGTATTCAATATAACTTTAGCTGTGTGTAATGTTGTTTGATATGGTGCATGTAGTTTTTTTTTAAATTACAGTATGTTACTTAGGTAGAATTGTATTGAAATGTATTTGCACTCATTTTAATTGAATTTAATTTGTATTTTTAAGATGAAGAGGAGTTTTAAAATGAAACTAAAAATGCATGTGTAAGGATATACATTAATTACAGTTGAAGTTCAAGTCTGTACAGTTGTCCTGTGAGCTATTTGGAATAATAGGAAACAATTTTTTTCTCTTCATTTACTATTCTAATTTCTTCTGAATCACAATGAGTACTTTAAGGAACTTTTTTTTAATCTCTCCATTTATGAGATGATATATTTATTAGAAGAAGCACTGATTGATATTTATGAAAACAAAATAGACTAAACACATGTAATACAATTGAATTTTTTTCATATTCAGATTAGATGACTTTTAGACTTTGTTCTCCATCTTCTATGTTGAATGAGTGATGACATTTTGTTGGAAATGCCATTACTCATTCATCCAACAAAGACTTGTAACAATTAAACTTCCTTTTTCCAAACAACTGTTTCTTCCTTTTCTATTAAAAGTGATTACAACTATATTGATTAAAACAACTTTATTTTACTTGTTTTCTCCTTACTTATTGTCTTAAATAACTTTTGTTTTTTGCAACATTAATTTTAAAAAAGTCTGATAACGTAGACAATATATGTTACTTTGTATTTGCTTCTCTCTCATTTCAAATTAGCCACTTTTATATCAACAAATAACATAGTTAATGCTTTTCTTATTTCACTTAGAATTATTGTTTGCTAGCTGAATATATGTTATTTGGAGAACATGGGTAAGATAATTAGGTTATGCTGGAATAAAATACAAATTTCAACCATAAGTAGTAATGGTGAAACTTGTTCCTATTTACAAAATTTTCATTTATGAGATACTCTAATGAATTGCAATTACACTAATATTTCGTTTTTGTGTTCTAATAAATACAGGCATTTGTTAATGAAATAGTTCATCATCATCATTAGTTGCACTATCACTAAAAAATGACGACTCAGATCTTTATTTAAAACTTGTTTCTTGGGAATTCTGAAAGAGAGAGAGAGCATGTCAGATAAAAATTTTACAAAGTAATATATTTTTTATTTCAACTCTGAATATATGAGTTACTCATTTGCCAAATTGATAAAATAATGTAAATTCTTTTTTCAAAATTTAAATTTAAATAAAAACTGTAGAATGTATTATTACAGGTGTAACAACTTTTATTTAACAACAGAGTATATCCTTGAAATAATCATTATTTTCTATTTTGGCATTTTTCACATAACTAAGAAGTCTAATCAGTTTGGCATGTGAACAGCTCATATAAAACTTACAAAAGTAGAAATTCTTTCAGAAAAGAAATATAATTTAGCAATCAATAAAATATCAGAACTATGCTTTAATGGAGTTTATACAGTCAAAAAATTCTGTTTAAGTATCTTTAGGTAAGCATTTTTTTAAAAATAATAAAAATCAAATACTCTGTCATCATGGTAATTATATATTTAAAAAAAAAAGTCTACATAATGACAATTAGAATGAAAAAATTAATTATTAATATAAAGAAAATATTCTTTAGAATATTCTAGATGTAATACATTTCCAGATCAGTTGTAGAGAATCTGAATCTGTATAGTTTAAGATGATTTTTAGTAGGGATTTGATCATCATTGTAATGTGACTTCTGCTCCTCCCTATTAAAAATTGTGATTTTTGTTTATTGCCTTCTTTGTTAGGAAAAAAGGCTAATGAGGAGCTTAAGATCATTTCTGTGTTTATCTAATCATTGTTATATGGGTTTCCATGTAATGCCTATAGTCACATTCAATTTAGCCCACTTTCTGCGATCTCATACTCAGTTACTACTGTTTTTTTTTTCTCTTGATCTTGTCATTTCTGATTAACTAAAGTAATGTTGCATCTCTTTTGACTAACTTTTTCTTTCATCAAATCTAGAGTGATTAATCCTGAAATAATGATTGAAAGAATTTGATTTTTTTCATTTCAGGGTTCTGTCATTAAAGAAAAGTGATCTATTAGCATTCAAATGTACGGACTATTTTTTTCTTTTTCATAATTTTATCTCAGATAAAACTAAGATAAAATACACATTTAGTAGAGAAAATATAAAGAAAATTTTAAAAATTGAAATTATTATGACATTCTACATTCATGTATACATTTACTTTTAATACTTTAAGAAATAAATAAAAAGAGAAACATTTAACATTTTTCAAATTGTTAACCAAGTAAAAACTAACTTCTGTTTCAACTGTGTGCATTTTGATATTATCTGAAGCAGTGGTTCTTAATGTTTTTTGTTCCACAGACCTCTTTTCGGTCAGGTGAAGGTTATGAACCCCTTCTCAGAATAATGTTTTTAAATGCATAAAATAAAATTACAAAAGAAACCAGTTTTAATAAACGTATTTCTATATAATAAAAAAAAAAAAGTATGATATAGTAATATATGTGCTCTTTTTCTGAGCACATTATCAGAGGGAAGGAAAGTTAGCCGAGTGAGACTTCACAGTGGACGGCTCAAAAGTATTCTGCAAGGTCAGATGGATATCAAAATGCATTTGTGTGCATGAAGAAATCACATTTTGAGGATCATGTGTGTTCTGCAATACATGTGCAAGCACATCGACAGGATTGAACATCCCAGATGCTGCTCACAAAAATGGAATCTCAAGATCAAAGAAATATTTTTCTTAGGTACAGCAAAGACCTTTATAGGATGCAATAAAGAATTGCATAAATTGAAGCATCGCTTGCCCAGGAAGTACTTAGAAAAATATATGAAGCAGAATCTTCTGGTGAATCAACAACAATGTGGAAGAATTATCTTCCACATGTTCATCAGGAAAGGCTTGCAGAAATCTGCAAAGAAATTAGTGACAATGCTATGTGGTTTGCTGTAGATGATATGTTGCTTTAATGGTAGTATGAAAACTTGACAGAAAAGATTTACATAAAAGATGATAAATTTTAGCACAATTTCTGGAAAGGATGAATGCAGAGGCAATAGCTAGAGTTATTCAGGAATGTGTAATGCTGTTGTATAATTAAAGTTATGTCATGCTTACAGAAGACTGTGCCATTTGTAAGCATGATGAGAACTTTTTATATAATCTTGTTCACATAACCTGCCTGAATCACACTTTACAACTTCTGGCCAAACAAGTTCATTTACATTCTAGAGATGTAAAAGTCCTCATTTGTTCTGGCAAAGACAAAATGCAAACTGCTATGCATTGTGAGCATCTGCCAGATACTCCTTTACCACCCTCTCCCATAGTCACGATATGAGGCACATGGATAAAAGAGGCAGTATTCAATGCAGACCATTTATTTGACTTTCAAAATTTTATCAATGAACTGGATGAATCAGAAAGCCCTCATTGTGGATGTTAAATTAAGGAAGCTTTGGAGAATCCACATTTAAATCGCTTCTCTAGTTTTGCATCTGCACCAATTTGTTAAATTTTCCAGATATCATTGAAGTATTAGAAGCAAGAGGGTTGTCACTTAAAGAATATATAAAAATTAATTTCAAACAGTAGAGGATTCTATACAAAACCTTCCCGATTTACGTGGAGGAAAACCGGCGAAGATCAGTGGTTTTTCTGTGCTTTGCAAAGTTAATAGCTGTCTAGTTGAAGATCCTGAGGATTAGGGCTTGCCAATATACCTTTGCTGCACTACTATCCTGTGACTATGTTCGAGACCAAGAGAAGTTTTTCTTTGTATAAAGACATTCTCACTGACCGTCGACAGTCTGACAAGAAAATATGACCATGCACCTATAAGAAATCTATTAATATTCAAACAGCTTATTAATTAATGCAATATACAATATTATAAACAGATAAAACAGAATTATCAAATTTT